TCGTTTTTTCATGAGTTTTTTTTTCCTAATTGGGGATTCTGAACATTGAATTTTGCAGACGCTTTAGTGGGGATAGGACTTCGGAGGTTACGTCTGGAACTTTGGCAGGCAGGGTTTTTTTTAGACTCCAGGGTACAGACATACGGTAGTTACCCACAGCAGGTCCGACATCCGTCTGGCCTAAGTTAGGGGACAAGCCAGGGGAAGGATGGTAGGATTGTCAGCCTGGGCTTCGCTTGGCCTTGGGTAAGCTAGGGGAAGGAGAGATAGGGCTGGCCAATTGTGGGTATAGACTACTAGTTAGCTGTCCCCGAAAAATTAACCCAGGGGTCTGTTATAAGGGAGCCTTATTCTACAGGGGTGTTGCATGGTGGGAGGCAGTAGCCCTATTGATAGTGGGGCAGATTGGGGATTGTCTGAGTCTGGGGCCGGGGTTGGAGAGTAGGTCGCCTTCAACCCCATCGGGGGCAGACAGGGACAAGGGGCAGGCAAAGGCAGCCTCTAGGAGGGGATTGGTTGCCTTCGCGGATGAGGTGGAGGGAGGGGAGGGGATCTGTTCTATGTTGGGGCCGAGGGATTTTCCTCGGTGGAGGCAGCATGAGACAGSGTAYAGTGGGTATGGAKYGGYTTGAGCTGTGACCAATGGAAGYGTATCCTTTTCATGATCTAATAAACTCAATGTGTCAAAAAAGATCTGATAATTTCGATACAGTTCAATACTTCAAAACCAGCCATCCGCTGCTTTACAATCTTGGCAGCACCTGGTCTTTTGCTTTAATTGGGATATAGGAATTCAGGGGTTGTCGAACCTAGACTGATAACTGCTAAAGTTGCTTTGTTCTGTGCTCCTGGATTGCCGATGTCAGAACAACGCTGGCTGGAGCTGAGGCATAGCCCTGTAACCTGCAATTGGCAGGGGTGGGAGGCCTTGTAGAGAGATCTGGGGTTTGCTGAGAAGAGATCTGGGGAAAGCAAGCCAATGGTGAACCAGGGGGGGCTACCTTGACAACTTATGGGGTGGGGTTAGTCTRGGTAGTGAGAAGAGATCAGCTATGGCAGTGGGGGGATATGTTTGTCTTGTTCCTTAGTTGCAATATCTTGGTAAGGGAGGGCTTGGAGTTATTCAGGAATTAGGAGTCCAGTATGGCTGACTTAGCATGAGTAGCTATATTCTTTAGTGATCATCACTGGTATCATTAGTATCATCAACATTAGAATTTTCGAAGGTTTCTGATTTCGTGAGTGCTTGAAGCATTCTATTCTCAGGTTTTTCTTAGTCGAAGCCGGGTAATGGCCCCGGTGTTACAAACTGATGTATGTTCATATGGGACGCTGGGCCCGGTTCCCAGCACGTGCTTCTCCCCACGAATAGACAAGAGCTTAAAAAAAAAAAAAAAAAAAAAAAAAAAAAAAAAATTCAGATTTCGTTAGCAGACTGTTCTAGGGCACAAGACCAGATTTTTTCAGACAAAATCTGGGCGAGAATTAATGGTTGGCTCAGCCACTACAGACTCTCCATATTTGGGAGGGCGTTGGTACTCTCTGCGGCTGCATTCTCCGTTTTGTGGTTCCCATTGTCAATATGCCTATTGGGAAAAGAGGCGTATTCAGAAATCAAGAGAATAGCAACACGGTTCTTATGGAAGCCAAGGTTGGAAGAGGACCAAGGGTTTTTATCCAAGGTTGCATAGGAAACAATCTGTTTCCCCAAAATGAGGGAGGTTTGAGAATTTTGGACCCTCAAGTTCAGAATGTGGCTCTCCCAGCCAAGTGGGTCTTCAAAGCCTAATTTGAGGACCCCTCTAAATTGTGGGTCCAGATTGCATAATATATACTAGCCAAGGAACGGGAGTGGGGAAATGGGAGTGATGTATGGCAATGTGTATTAATTCCTTYCTACGTGAATAGAAGACTTAAATCAAGAACATGGTGGGGGATCTTGCGAGCTTGGAAGACAYTGCAGCCAGAGGTGTTACGCCCGCCAGAAACGAAGAAGGAGATTGAAGCACAATGTTTGTTCGAGAACCCCCTCATATGCTCTGCAGATAACTTAGCTTTTCCAGCAACGGAAGGGGTGGGTAACTTTGGTAAAACATGGATGGAGAAGGGTGTATTTCTCATCAGACATTTGTGGGATGAACAAAAGGAGACTTGGCTCACGSAGGACCAGCTACGTCAGAAACTCCCCCGCTGTCSATTGGTGTCTCACAACAGGTYTAGATTACTTGTAGCGATCCCCCACCAGTRGCCTGAGTTACTGCGCAGGGAGACAGAACACGCAGCGGGTACGTGGTTGCGTGCGCAAGACGAATAATCAAAAATCTGAAAAATACAAGGACCTGACTTGGGTGGGGGTTGGAGGGTGGAGGTATGGAGGGAGGGTCCAAGAGCAGGAAAAGGGATTAAGTTGATTAGACTGGAAGATAAAACTGTGCCCTCATCCAATGACCTTCAAGAAGTAAGAGTGCTAACACAGAAACACCARCATCTAYTGTTGGGGGAGGCTGAGAGTTTTCGGGTCGAACCCTTGCTGAGAGGTTGGAGGAAGGGGTCAGGGGACTCGGAAGATTGGACTCCACTGTGTCACTTCAGCCCGAAGGTAGGCAGAGRSGCCATTSGTCGGATGGTGGAATCCACTCCGAWAGACAAGGCTAAGAGRAGATTCAGTCAAATGAAGGGATCTCTGGCCCAAGCTCCAAATTGGTCTGCCATGTGGAAARCCTTAAAAATRATTCCCTCTCAGAGAAATGCAAGCTTAATGTGGACTCAGAGCTTACAGGTAGTCCCTACGACTCTCTGACTATTATATCTAGAGCGATGRACATCCCTGTTGAATGCATCAGATGTAAKTGGGGATGGGAGTCTAACTCCCACTTACRGATTTACTGCCWCCTGGCAGTGGTGGACAGTACTTTGGAACGAGGTAACACAAGGAAACTTTCCTTGGTCTGACGACTGGATATTGTACGGCACACTTCCGGACCCCACCTTCAACTATTTGGAGAGTTGGGGTTATGTAGCGTTGGTCAGCAGGGGGGTGGTCGTGCAAGAAATTTRGAGGGCAAGAAATTYGGTAACATTTGACGGGGAGGAAATTAACCTGCATAAAAAAAAACAACAGATTAAAGTTGATCTAAGACTGCACATGAAAACGGATTGGAAAAGCTGTTCTGGACGCAATGGAAAACTCAACGATAGGTTTTCTCCTGATAAGCATTCAATAAGGATTTCCCCCAAAAATTATCAACCATCACTATCYCGCGGAGTAATTTCACTGGGGCGGGCACACCCCCTTAAACTCTTACCTACGCGGTCCCGCAGCCAGGTTGCGCCGGCTAGCAGCCATCCAATGCGGTTACGCCCTAGAGGTACTAACTTCTTTTCCGTTAGTTTGACCTTTCTTCAATATGTCTTAGAATTAGCACCAGTGGTTAGACGGGGCGTCGCAAAACAAAATCACTGGCCCACTGCACGATACGCAGGGGTCCGAAGGCATTTACCWGCCCTCCCTCAATAGGCATGGCATCCTTCGCACGCTTACAAACAAAATCACCGCTAAATCCACCAGGTCATGACCCCTGAATTGATCAGAGTCAGCAACCACCCACCCTGAGACATCTCTCGCCCTGCACTCATTGTGAATTTCTCAAACATTCCAAACAAAAGTGGCYCTTTTCGTCAGACTTTATCACCCATCAGACAACTTACCATGCCATAAATCAGTTTTACTCACTTTTGARGGTGAGTCTTCTAACAATAAAACCATCCCATTTTCCAAAAAATCCAAGGGGCTCTCATCATAAAACAAAACACCCCCTCTTCCAAAATTACGAGGGCTCTCACCACATAACAAAACACTCACTCTTCCAAAAATCACGAGGGGTCTCATCATAAAACCAAACTTTCCCTTCTCAAAAAAATTTGAGGGGGTCTCATCATAACACACAACATCCCCTTTTCCAAAAAATCCAGGGGTCTCTTCATAGAACAAAACATCACTGAGAGACCACCTTTATGGGTCCTCGTCACAACTTAAGCAATCAACAATCAGCATGGTCAAGCATTCGAGTCTCAAGGACTCATAAATCTTTAAAAAATTCTCACAACTTTTCACAAACAGGTTGCGCTTCCTCCCCTTATACTCTGCCCTATCAGCTGCTCGTGGGCAGGTCGCTCGAGTATACTGAGGAGTAGACAACTTTACATGTTATACATTCACACATCTCTCACACAAGCCAACATTCATCAGGATAAAGCCACACAAGTGAGAGTGATAGTGATCGTCACAAAAACCAAGCCTCATAGGGTTTCAACTTAATACGTACGCCATAATAAAACATCTCTCTAAAAAACGACATAGGTACTCAGCCCTCACGCCTCAGTCTACTGAGTAACCCATATCTTGAACATACAAGTACTTCGGAATACACCCAAACATACACAGAAGCTCAAAGCGCGCAAATTTATCCCAACACGTCAACARATCACATATCTGGATTCAACCACCTAAATCACGCCAAAGCGGAAACCAATGGTTTGTCTAGTACTACAATCTGCATATGTACAGATGGGCGAGTTAGTCGTGCCTACATCTAGATACGCACATATCTAGCTCCGTCCCTATATACAAGAAGCTTTGATCCTACTGATGTATAGGCGAATCAGTCCTCACTCACTCCTTGCCCCTGGTCTCACCTATATGGCTGAGCTATCTACAGCCTAAGCGACTTTACCGGACCATTATTGCGAAACCCCTCTCCGGATCTAACCTATACGCATATACACATCAAAGTTCTGTCCCGACCCAGATAATATGCAACTAGCCTTTACCAATTAGTATGGGGTTAGGGTTCTGCAATGGTTAGCCTAGTACCCCAGTTTCCAAACCAATACATGTTACAATTAATCCTTACCAACACGAATCCGAAAATCCAGGGYAGGCGATTGACAGAGACTTCCCAACCCAGGAGTTAGGGCGAATCCCCATTACGTCCCACTATACTTTCTCTGCCCTAGTCGCCTCATCTACCCTCTCCGCACCCTTAATCACCTGGCTCACTCTAATGGTCATCTCATTCGKTATCATCATGCCCCTTTCTTCTTTGAGCCCCACTTATGGTTTTGCTGGCTCCCACCGCGACCCTCGGCGCCTTGCCTATCATTCCCACGACCTTCATTGCTGCGTCCACCATTTCCATGGCCCGTGTTGCCACACCCGCCATCTCTACGGCCCGTATTGCCACGCCTGCCATCTCCACGGACCCTTCCAACTGTCCGCCTTTGACCTTTTGTGTTGGCCCTGCCGCCTTGTAGCACTTGTTGCGACGATAGTTGTAACTGTCTCCCTTGCTGGGCTTGGGCTACCAAAGGCCTGGGTACCATCTCAGGATCGTTATTGGTCGGGTGCTCCTCACCTAGCCAGTACTTATGCCTCATGTCATCACAAAATTTCCCCCATGATGACCTCGCTCTTTTAACCACTCTATCAACTTCATCCCTCAGCTCTATATGGATAAACCCCATGACCTCTTCCAGCATTTGCACCTCGTTCCATTTGTAGTGGGATGCTATCTGTTCAAACTTGTCAAGGAAATCGGAGACATGATAACCCCTGAAGAAGTCTATCACAATCGCAGACCCTATACCTATCTGATCGTACGGCATCAACCGCCGATATAATGTCTGCTCGGCCACCGAAGGCCCCCTTTGAGCAGTTCCGCCTCCCATTCCTAGCGGAGTGACTACCTCTTGTTGCGAGCACTGCCCTTCTCCGGTATCCTGACCTCCCTGGGCCCAACCCCTCGCCTCTCGCTGAGCCTTTGTTGGTTTAGGAGACTCAATTTCCCCTTTTCTTCCCATCACACCTTTTTCCTTACTTCCTTGAGGGATAAGGCCAGTCCCTCTCCAATGATCGCATACCACCGTCACCCATTGCTCTGACCACCATCCACTCTTTTGCCTTCCCCGACCTGCGGCCGAGGATGCTTCCAAGTTAACAAGCCCTCTCTCTGGGTCCGGCGCAATAACATGCAGGGCCATATTAGCACCCCGCTCCTCCTTTATTTCAATAAATCCTTCGTCTTCGTCGCTCGCCCGAGCATCGGCCCGCCTCTTTGGGGCTCCTATCGAGAGGGGTGACTCTTGACCATCCCCCTCCACTCCTCTTTCACCCTGGTCATCCGGCTCACTTGGGAAACCTTCTGAAACCTTCCGCTTGCCTCTCCTGGCCTCCTCTAGCCGTGCTAACCTCTCTTCCAATGCTCCCACTTGTCTCTGCAATCCACTCAACTCTGCCTGCGATGGGGCACCCACAACAGGCTTTCTCCACATTGGCCTTCTATTCCATCCTCTGGCAATCTTAGCCTTAAGCAACTCTCCAACACATCCCACGTCTTCGCCTTCTGCTTGAGGGTATATACATCCTCACTTACTCCTTCACATACGAACAAGGGGAACATGTACAAAATCGCCTTCTTATTCCACTTCTTCATGAGGCAAAAATCATGAAAGTCGCGCAAAAAGCTAGCCAGGTTCCTTCCTTGGAACAACAAGACGCGCATATCTAGGGGCATTGACTCCTGCAACATTTCGTGCAGCAACACCTTCATGAGGCACGAATTCCTTCAGCACAGGATTTTGGCGAGGCCGCATTCTTCCGCCATGATGCTGAGAGAAGCCCGATACGCATAGCGGGCAAAAGACCATCAAACAATGATTCAAGCAAGCGCAGGCGAATAAAGATTGACTGCTAACACTTACATCACGTTATCTACCCCTTTACTCATGCAATCAGGCCTCAAACCCTAGTTACCCTGACGCTTACCTTTACAACTACGTCAATGGGTAGTGAGGCGGCCCCAACCGGGTCAAAAGAAACGCATTTTAGTGAAGAAAGAGGTATTCCCTATCGGCCCACTGCTGCCCGTAGCCCATCCCAGTCTTCAATTTTCTCATTTGGATCATGTGAAATGGAATATACGTCCACTATATTGGCTGTATTCTTTAGCTCCTGACTAGAGGGTGAGAACTTCGGATCTAAGTACATACCATATATCAGTTCACACGTATAGCGTCCATACTCCCAGTCTCGCACCCTCATAGCGGCTTCAGCTGCCGCTTCTACCCTTGCCGACCCACCAAAGCTCTTCTCTATGAGGAAGTTAGGCAGGGTGATTCGCAGTGGAGCAGATGGAAGCGCGAACTCTCCTGTGCACTTAACCTCTACATGGGTTAGTACTTGCTCTTCTCCGTCACGGGTCACTTCCCTCGTCCATTTAGCTGTCGCTGTCTTAGCTACCCTCAAAGGCTTAGCAAGCAGACTTCTATGCCCAAGTGCCAATTTTATCCCATGCTCGACCCAAAAGGTGGCTGAGGCATACAGGGTTACCTTTACAATTGCGCATTCCTGCTGATCGTCGAACCCAGACTCGATCCAGACAAAGACGTCCGTGTCCATTATCATGCCCCACCATGATGAAATGTATTATCCTTCTCTGACCCACCTGGGTAAAGACACCTCGAGTCCTCCCTCTTTCTTAACCGGCGCGAGCATACGCGGGTCTTCCCGTGCATAAGGCATCCTGAGTTGCCTTTGCTTTGTCTGGGTTCTGCCCATCACAGACAAACGTCCAGCATGCGCCTTCCGTTATTAGACTGACTATCCCTGCTCCTTTGGGAAGAGCGACCCAGCCATACAGACTCGATGGCCAACCATAAAACAAGTGCTGGACTCGAGACATTCATATAAACTTTTACAGACTGATAAGATCCCAAATATAATCCCGATAGAGTACCCCACACGAAATACCCCTAAACAGGATATCTACTCAGCCACGTATCCTCACATACGTAGACATAACCTAGGATATCTACTTAAAAATATGCCTTCACATTTAGACATAACCTAGGTTGGCTAACATCAATTACTACCTACCACTCCATTAAAGGTGGGAAATTAGTCTAAGAGTTAGCTCTTCCATTGCTACTCCAACTCCCTCTAGGATTAGATGTCCTTTACGTAAAGAAGGTATCACCCAGACTCGCTACGCCCCGTAGCAGAACATCCGCTTAGAATTCAAACTCAAACATGTAAGTCGATACAAGTAATATCCTTCAGCTTTCCTTAATCTACTTCTCCTCAAGGCGCRCATACGACTTCCAACCTGCCACCTAGTAGAGGGTCTATACCTTCAGCTCTTAATAGAGGACTATTATCTCACTCATCCTTARCTCCATTCTGCTGCAACCGTATCACGATGYTTTCCCAACTACTCAGACGACTCTTACGGTAGTCAGGGAGGGTACACCATAGGGCTAGTCCTCACAATAGCCATGCTTAACCTTAGTCACGCCAAACACGCAAGGCACCGCCCAGGCCTGCCAACTATCGGATTATAAAGGCTACCAATCCCAAATACGATCGTGCTGGTCAAAGTCGGTGAACCCAGAATCACAACCCTTATCACCCTCAAGTCACTCATACCACATAGATCCAAATGAGGTCACGTCAATCAAAACCACATCGCTTAATCCTCACTTCACGCTTTTTATCCAGCATCGTCTGCTACCAACCATTCTCCGCAAACCATTAAATAAAGCGGAAATGGTCACTTCGCCTGAATCATCAACCCACCTCGAATCTAGATCCGAGTTTTAAGGTTCTCTCAGCTCTACGACACTATCAATCAATAGTCAAGATGTCAACTGATCACTCATGTCGTCCTAACGAAACTTCTCATTTGTTTTTTTTTCTCACTTTCAATACCCGGATGTCGTTCCACCAGGGACAACGGTAGGCAACCGTTATCCCCGGCAACGGCGCCACCTGTCAAGAGCATCGGTCCGACACCGCACGGGGCAGCGTGGGACCCTCCCGGCTGCGTCACACAGGAGTTGATCTAAATCCGTCGTCGCAATATACATGGAGTTTCCACAAGCCGCTCTGGCCGAGTGCGCCAGCCATACCTCTCGCGAGCCCCTACGACAGGATAGGGCCTACGCGAGGCACGACTTACCTCCACCTTATGGGAGCTATCACCTCACTTCGCTGGGCGTATCCCCGCCGAGCTACCAGTCCACAGTACAAAAGCTAATCAGTTGCAATCGCAGAGGTGGACCAGCCGAGGGCATTTCTCGTTCGATGTAGCATAGGGGGTACGCGCGGTATTACGCCTCTATCGAACCCGCACGCGAACCGACATCTTGGGGGGATGAGGTCCTAAGCGCGGTTAGGCGCCGGTCGACTAGGACGCATCCCACACACCACGCGCACACCACTCTAACAACCACAAAACAACAACACACGCACATACGCATACAAAACGACATAACACAAACATTGCGACAATGTTCCTAGCCCCTCGGTAGCCAACCCATAACTTTTCAATGTGGAAATCGAATAGGCGTCGCGCACGAGACTTAGTATAAAACCGCGCGAACGCAGACGAACTCATATCGACTCGTAATGCAAGCGTACGCAAGCAGTTGCAATGATGGCATACTATGTAGTACCCACATTCGTGCGGTCCTCGTTAATCTTGAGGGTCACATTCGACACTCAAGTGTTGGCTGACACACGCCTTGAGGGTTAATCTTTCGACGCTAGACAACCGCCATGCGCGGTTGAAGACCACACACCCTCTTCTRCACTCTGTGCAGAGTGGGTGGTACACAGGTCCATACCTGTGGTCGCAGTCGTTTCTTACTGCCCTGGAGATGAGTCTCACTCCAGGCCTAAGCGGAAATCAAGGGGTTTGACTTTGACGGCTGCCACAGACTACAACGTCCAACCACATAAACTCTAAAAAACAAAGAATAAAGGGGATCTCCCTTTTCTCTCAAATCATAACCTAGTTGACCCTTGCGCACGGTCTCAGTAAGCCGCGGACATACCCAAGGCACATATAAATATATATAATATATATATATATAAGGCTTATTTATATAGGACGATTACTTCTCACAGTCACAGTGGGACTCTTCTCAGCCATATATGTATGTAATCGGAGGCAGTCACATCCAGAAGCCGAACCACAACCATACATGCAATCACATCAAAGACTCATAAAGAAGTCCACGCACTACACGGGGTCAACTTCACTCGTGCAACTCTTAAAATAAATACTCAGTACTTTTGTTGGATGGCCATTTAATAAAGTCCGTGTAAAAACACAACGAAACAATTCAAATCTTAAGGCTAAAGCCTTTAGGTTGAGTGTCAGGAGTGAATTGAAGTTGAATCGTAAACCGAAAAATTGACAACCGACCTATTATTTGTGATAACAGAAGGTGATCCTCAAGGGATCATGCTGAATCTAGTCCTAAACTTGAACCAAACGATCAAGAGGACTTGTAATACATGACAGGTAACCTATAAGTCCATGAAGAACAATCTCTATATCATGATTTTACCCAAATCATCCTAGTTAACTATATCTAAGCCTACCTGTAAGCAAGTGCTCAAAGAAAGGTAGACTCATGGCAAAATCTCCCCTATTCAGAGCGGACTACCAGAATCGCCACCTGTCAAAATATAATCGATTTCTCTTAAACTAGAAAAATTTTGGCAGCGCTTCCCGTAGGAAACGTGTCTTTCCAGAATTTATACAAGTCCACATATGAAAGTTAAAATAATCTCTAACGCTGGAAAGTCAAAGTTTATTTAACTCCCTGAATTGGTAGAAATTTGGGTAGCATTCCCTGAAGAAAGTGAGACTTCCTTGACTTATACTAAGTCAGATATGAACTCAAAAAACAACCCGAGTTCAATTTAGACAAGATTTAACTAACTCCTTTGCTTTGCAGAAATTTTGGCAGCACTCCCTTTAGAAAAGTGTTATTCCAAAATTTATACAAGGCTAGATCCAAAATTTGAAAATAACTTTGACTTCCCAAAGTTCAATTTTGTCTAACTCCCTGAATTAGCAAAAATTAGGGCAGCACTCCCTTTACAAAATGAGACTTCCCAGATTTTAACTAAGTCAGATAAGAGAAAAGACAAAGTTGMACTTTCGACAAGTCAAAATTCAACTAACTCCTTGGATTTGTAGAAATTTCGGCAGCGCTTCCCGTWGAGAAAGTAGCTTGCTGAGATTTATACAAAGCCAAATGTAAGAAAATATCTCAGAAAATGCAAGAATTGATCTCAATAAAAAAGCTACTACCGAAAATGCAGGAATTGACACTAACTCCTATAGCTTAGCACGTGGCGTGCAACTAAAGCGACTACCTGTAATACTGAAACACAAACAAACTAGTCATCTCCCTCAGTCACATGCAAACCAAACCACGAATGTAAGTACTCTCCCCATCCCAAGTTTATTCCATATAGATAGTTTATGGATCTTTTAAGTCCTTGATCCCTTATTTCCCTCTTACATAAGACATAGAGTTGGACCATTCGCCATGGAAACAATGCCCTACTTGCCTTTAAGGTATACACGAACAGGTTGCACAACTACTTCTCCCTTCTTTTGGGCATATGACTAGGCCATTCACCATGGAAACAATGCCCAGCCGCCCTGAGTCATTTAATATCCAAAATTTAGTATTTCTCTGACTTTGTTTTCAAAAAGGAAAGCAAATATGAGCAAGGGACTGAACCATTCTTCATGGAAACAATGTTCAGCTTGCCCAAAACTATTTCCATTTATATTTCGTATTTTTTCCTTTCTCTTCTTAACGATATGGCTTAGCGCTGAACCATTCACAGTAAGAACTATGTCCAGCTGCCAGTTCACATGCAAATATACATAAAGTACTTTCCTTTATACTTAGTTTAGTTCACGTGCATGATTTTCTGCCTAAACCATTCACAGTAGAAACAATGCTTAGCCTCAGACCAGAAATCCTCCCTCAGAATAAAACAAGAATTTAAACCCCCTCAATCAGGCAAACCCCCAGAGTTAACTAGTGTAAACAGGTCATTCACAGTAGAAACAATGCCAGGTTCCCCAGAAAACAGCYAAACAAACATAGCAACCAGGTCATTCACAKTAGAAACAATGTTTGGTCCTTCGAAAAACARCCAAATAAAACATAGCCCTGAGCCATTCACAGTAGAAACAATGCTCAGGCTTTGGTTGACCCTTCCAAACGCATGCAAAACTGACTTCCTCCCACCTTCCCCCAATTCATACCTTAGTCTGCTTTCAGTCAAAAYAAAAGAGAAACKTAAACTTCTCTTTCACACGTTCCTTCCATTTAGTCTGATTTGGTCCTGAAGAGAAAGAAAAACCATAGASACAGCTTCATGCATACAACAGTCATACTGCAGGGGGATAAACAAACATGGATAGTAGTAGGGTAATACAGATGACGTGAATTTACCTGATGGTTCCCTGCCTCCAGAACTCCTCCTTAGTTCCGGCAGAGCTCCCGCAATCGATGGGTAAGCTCCTACAGAGCCTTGATGCGGATTACGGGTTGCAATCTTGCCTGCCGCCTTCCTCTCAGAACCAGGGGACTAGACTTAGAGTAAGAAAAGCAGATGGAGAAGGGTTTGAGACTCTCAGATCCAAGGGGTGGTGCTCTCAAACTCG